CATCATAGATAATTATTTTAAATTAACAATTATCTACAATTTATTTAATCCAATAATTATTTAGATAATTATTATAATAAATTATCTATTATCATAGTTGATAATTATCTATTAATCTCTTATAATAAATTATATGATTAGCAATTTGTTCATAGTCATAATTTATCAATTACTAATTATGATACATACAACTTGGTTATCTAATTAATTTAACTAGATAGTTACTTTACTCAATACTATAGATAGTTATTTAAATAATTATTCCAACTTACCCAATTAATAAACTAACACATTATATAATTACTAATTATTCAAATATCAATATTAAACTAATTAAGATACTAACAATTATATTTAAAATAAATGTAATAAATATTAATTTAAACCGAACCATAAACCCAATCAGACCGGGCCGACCAGACCGGGCGGACCGCGTCCGACCAGACCGGGCGGACCGCGTCCGACCAGACCTGGCGGACCGCGTCCGACCAGACCTGGCGGACCGCGTCCGACCAGACCTGGCGGATCGCGTCCGACCAGACCTGGCGGACCGCGTCCGGTCCGGCCTGGCAGACCGCTTCCGCTCCGGCCTAGCGGACCACGTCCGCTCCGGCGTGTCAGATGGCGGCGAGAAAAAAATAAAAACAAATTACCTGGTCTCGAACAGCGGCGTCGACGGCAGATTGAGAGGTCGGCGGCGCTGCTGTGGGGTCCTCTTCGGCGGCAGCTGATGGGTTCGACGGCGGCGGCTTCTGCTCGGCAGCGGCGGGAGGTGGATGGCCAGAGGCTTCTCGGCGGCGGCAGAGGTGGCTGGCCGACGGCCTTCTCTTGGAAGCAGCAGGTGAGGGTTTGGGGAGGTAAAGGTTTGGAGGTGAAGGGTTAGGTTGGAATAGGTTTAGGGTTTTAAAATGAGGCGGGGGGCAATATCGTCATATTTTTCCTAACTACGGGCGACAAATAGCGATTCATTAAAACAATACCGGATTTAAAACTATTCTTTCTCCTTATCAATCAAGAAAGTGATATACATGTAAAATGGATAAGGTCATCTTATTTTCGTTGAAAAGGTTCCATCATTCATTATATTTTCACATGTTCACATCTTCTTATTGGATGATTGTTAAATAATTATATCCAGTGGGGCACATATATAAGTGATCGCATTTGCCACGCAAGAATGTAGATACAACTAATGAAAGTACAACGAAATTATGAAAAACAATGTATTTAACTTACGTATAACAAATTCTATTGGAACTTCAAGACTTTTATGATTTATAAAAGGGTTAAGTCACTCATTTTTATCTATAACTATGCACTTCGTTAAAATATCCCTCTGCACTAGAAAACTTGTTTTTATCTTTTTTGGCCTTTTGACTAGTCAGCCGATAGAGTTTTATGGCTTCCGTTACCCATACCCACCATGTAGAATTATGTTCCTAATATCTCAGCTCCACTCAATTCACATTACTCTCTCTCTTGTATAAATTCTTTAGTAATGGAAAGAAAGAATGTGACACATTTAGATATTTCATGGTATAGAATCCACAAACCCTCACTGCAAAGTGCAAACAGACATTCCTTTCTTCATATTTGGATCTTACCATGTCGATAGCTACTTCTACCTCCTCTGGTTCTACTATTGCTTCCCACTCCTCTGTTTCTTCAGCTTGACAATCCCCTCCGCCTCCTCTTTGTATTGTTATGAAGATTGACTCAGACCAATGTTGAAGGATGGAAATCTGGAATTGCATAATTAAAGGAGATTATTCAGCAGATCCAGCTTTCCTTTTGTGGACATTAGGGCATGTCCTCCCCCTCAACTGCAATTTCTAGTATGGGACCCCTTGTGAACAGCATGGGAGATAATCCTAAGATCTAGAACAGAGGCCAGAGGAAATTGCGATTGAAGGGGAGAACGTGCATAATGTTCACATCATCAACAACAACACAGAGGATTCTAACTCTAACACCTCCGACGATGGTTCTCGACAAATGCTCATGAAACCTTTCGTTGCTGCCTTGCAAGCTCTTTATGGATCGGGCTCTAACAATGACAGCGTCTAGACTTTAGGTGGAGATTTTTCTGTTTATCGTTTGCTGCTTTGGACTATATTTTCTGATTTACTTATAATGACTTTGGTTTGCTCGGCCTGGATGTGGTCATACTTTCTTTTGGTGCCTTAGTCGTTGTGTCCAACTTCTTGGCTAAGTTTTGATTAATTAAAGGATCTTCCTCTTTGTGTAGAAAGGTAATTGTTATTTTTGTAGGCACTCTTTGCCAATCTGCAATTTCAAATTTATGTTGAGATTGTTGAAGGATGGAAATCCGAAATAGGAGAATTAAAGGAGGTTTCTCAGCAAATCCAGCTTGATTGGTTTCAAGCTCAACGGTCGCGTGGATACCTTGTATCAATAGCTCATGCGGAGCTCTCTCTTGTCAAGCTTTCTAATTGAGAGTGGTAAAGGGCTTGGGATTACAAAGTGTACTACTAATTTAGAGGTAGAGGTTCTAAATCGTGATAGGTTAGAACAATCGGATTAGGGATCTGGGTTTCTCAGTTTACTCGTTCCTTTAATTTTCACGTTCTTGTTCGATACTAAACTTTTCAACTCCACAGTTCATGAAGAATTCTCAAAGAGTGTGAGAACACTCAAGGTTCCTTAGACCAACTGATCAACCAAATCACTCATCAACTATATAATCACAAGAAGAAGTACAATATACGCTGTCACTAAGGAATACACAACGCCAACTGTCGCAACCAGGGGTGAACAAATACACCCACAAACCGACCCACCCGTCCAATCCGACCCAACCCACCCGTATTTATCGCTAAAACGAAGGTTTTGGGTTGGGTGAGGGTTTTCTTTTGTACAACCCGCCTCTTTTGGGTTGGGTTTGGATTTTGGATTACACAACCCGTAGAACCCAACCCAACCCGTGTTCCAACTATTAGTATGAGTTCGGATCTAAACAATATCTATGTCGTATATAGTCATATACTTATGAGAAAATTAAGATATTTTGGCATGTTTTTCTCTCATGGTCTCCCTAATCTAATGCATTTTTCGACTTAAAGTTTAGACATAAATTGAATATAGTTATGATCCACGTAATCATTTTTCTTGTGTACAATTTTAATAGAATAACATATGATGGATGCGTTTGTTTATAACATTTTTAGCCTATTTCAACAAATATCGTGAAAAAAGCAAGACATATGTTGAAGTAAATTATATTTTATTAAAATTTAAATAACATTTGTGAATTTTTATACCTTTCACTTTGGTACATTCGTTTGAAATTTTAATTAGTTATAAAATATTTTTATGATGTAGAATAATTATATATTTTATGTTGGGTTGGGTTTTTACTTAAAAATATCGTCAACCCGACCCAACCCAATTAGAAACAAACCGTAGGGTATAAATTTTTTTGGATGAGTTTGGTTTTGATATTTCCCAAACCGTAGTGCATGGATCGGGTGATTAAAATGACTAAACCCGAACCACCCGACCCATGTACACCCCTAGTCGCAACCGTCCCTCCGGGGGTCCGATGTCGTCGCGTCGGCATTTTTGGGAGTCGCCATCGATCTTACTTGGAGTGGATCGAACACTCTTCGGGTCGGCTCTAACCTTAGGTTCAGAACCGAGATATGGTCTGCGATTAAGAGATATGGGTTCGGGAGTACGGTTACGTGTGGGGAAGTTAAGCAACACCCCCACAACGCCCTAAATCGGTACTACTTAAGTTTGATAATTTTATACGAGTTGGGTGTTTTTAATAATAATTGGTATTTATAGGATCCCACTGGACCATTTAATGATTTTATCATATTAGTTGTATTTTAATTATACGCCCACTGACGTAAAAATTTAAAGATAAATATTAATTGGTTAGTTGGACTCGAACCTTATCGGTTGCCTACGTACCTGTCGCAACCGTCCCTCCGGGGGCCCGAATGTCGTCGCGTCGGCATTTTAGGGAGTCGCCATCGATCTTACTTGGAGTGGATCGAACACTCTTCGAGTCGGCTCTAACCTTAGGGTCAGAACCGAGATATGGTCTGCGGTTAAGAGATTTGGGTTCGGGAGTACGGTTACGTGTGGGGAAGTGAAATCACACCCCACAACGCCCTAAATCGGTACTACTTAAGTCGATAAGTTTTTATATGAGTTGGGTGTATTTTAGTAATATTTTAGTAATTTTAGGTCCCACTGGACCATTTAATGATTTTAATCGTATTAGCTGTAATTTAATTGTATGCCCACTGACGTACAATTTAAAGATAAAGTTAATTGGTTAGTTGGACTCGAACCTTATCGGTTGCCTACGTACCCGTTAGACGGGATCAATGTCCACGTAGTTCGTTAGGGACCTTAATAATTTTAAATGTAATTTTTACCACGTTCCACCGATCGTGGTTCTCGCGTATTAAAGATTTTGTTAACTTTGATAGTTTTAGTTATAACTTTTACCACATTCCACTGAACGTAATTCTCGTATTACAATTTTGTTGATAAAATTTCATTTAGATTATTATGATGTTACGAAAATAAATGCAAGGATTTTAGTTATTGGGAAGTATTTTGAGGTATTAGAAAAGAAACAAGATAAACTTAATCCGCATTAACATTTCGTATTAGGGATTTTAAAAACAAATAAAATCAAATGGGATGATTAAATTTAAGAATGATGAGCCAGCAGCCCAACTGGCTAAACCGCCAGTCGTACAACGCACCCGATCGCGAGGATACGGGTTCGAAACCAGCTGCCACCACCTTTTTTGTTTCTCTGTTTTATTTCAGAGAAAAGGGGAAGGGTAGTTTCGAACTTTCACTAAAACACGGTGGCAGGGCCCGTTAATTTTCGGAAACCCCAAGGGTAAAACAGTCAATTACCATATTGAGGTATATAAACCTCTACTGGAAACCCTAATCCTAAACCTAACCATAAGTGCAGCCGCCTCTCACCCCTCTGCTCTCACCTCTGTTCTCTCTCTTCTCGTTTCCTCCAGAGTAAACCGAAAACCAAAAAAAACGAAGAACAATCGCCCTCTCACTCTCCCGATTCTCTACTTTGTTCTCTGTGCTCTCGGCTAGCTAAGGAGTCCGCTCGTTTCGTACTAAATCAACCGAGAGGGTTTCGATCCAGGTAAGAGTGAGACATGCATGGTATTTTTGATTCGTTTTAGGTGATTTTATTAGGATTTGTCTAACTTTCTTTCGTTTTCTTGTGACTTTGAGGCTTGTTTTCGGACGAGGGAAAAGAAGCAGTGAGGAGATCGCCAGACCGAGGTACGATTTAACCGTAGGCTCGGATCTGGTTTCGTTTTTGGTTTATCGGTTGTATTTTTGGATTTCTGGGTTCTAATATGTTTTTTTTGGTTGGGCGGAGGAGAAGAAGGGAATCTTTGGCGGCTAAGATCCCTACCGACAAAATTTCGCCGGCGATGAGTTGACAACGGCGGCGGCAGGTGAGGATTGCTTCGATTAATTTTTTTATTTTCTTGACTGGTATTGGTTCTAATTGATTCTGGTCTCTACGCATGTTTTGAAATTGACAGGACTGGGTAAGGTTTCTAAACTCAGATTAGTGTGATCTTGAACAAAAAAGATGGGTTGAATCTGATTGCAGATCTGGGTTTTCAATAAAAATGGTTATGTATGAGTTCAATAATTTTGGTGTTTGGTGGATGGATTTAGATGCAAATCTTGATACGTTGGAATTTGCTAAAAAGGGGTTAAAGACACATTTGGTCACTGAGATTATAAAATCGGGACATGTTTAGTCACTAAAAAAAATTAATATCAAATTTGGTCACTACAATTACTAAAACTGGACACATTTAGTCACTCGCCGTTAGTCTCCGTCCAACTCCGTTAATGAAGTCCGTTAAGTGATGATGTGGCAAACAGAATTGCCTAATCAGCCGGATATAACCCAACAAAAATAAAACCAGACCCGCCACGTCATTATAACCCTCCACGTCATTAAAACCAACCCAACCCATGACCCAACCCCACCCAACCCTTCTTCCTTCTTGGCTTCGTCCTGGGCAGAGAAAGTGGAATTGTGGTTCCAGGAAGAGAGCACAAGCAGAGTGTGGTGGTGGACTTCTTTGAGGAGATGGGTTCGCAGCCTGGCGTGGCTAAGGAAGTTGAGTGAGATGATTCTCATGTTCTTGTGCATATCTCCCACAAAAACCAGCATCGACCATTTCCCCAGAATCCCGCCGATGCTCTTCGGGTAGCTGCATTCGAACATCTTCCCTTCGTTTTGGAGTATGAATCGGTTCGGCCCTGCGTCCGCCGACACAATCGTCCGCTCCCCGAACAAATTCGACTTGTATATCTTCCCGTACCTGCACAATCAGTCAGTTTTACTCTGTTCCACAAACAAAAATCACAAAAAAATTCAAATGCTCTGTTTTTACCTGGTGACGTGCTGGTCCATGAAATCGCCGAGGAAAGTGGGGGAGAAAGGTCTCAAGTAGCCAATCGTCTCGCCGAGGAAAGGCCAGCCGGAGCTGCCTGGTGGGAGATTGAATCTGCGGTGGGATTTGATTTTGAGGATGAGGATGAGGAGCAGAGTGAGGAGGGAAGGGAGAAGGAAGAGAACCACACGAACTAGCTCTGACTCAGACATGGAGGTCATGCTTGGGAGTTGGGACTGGGTGTCTCTCTGTTTCTCTATTGAGGAAAGGAGTTGAGTGGAGACAGAGAGATGGGTTTTTCTCAGAGAGCAGGAGTAATAGTATCTTCTTTTGCTGCGGAAAGGGTCCCAGAAATCCCAGCTGGAAGACTGAGGAACCGGCGGCGGAGCAGGGGAAGCGGAGATCGATGTCCAGGTGGTGTCGGAGTTGGGGCTCATTGGAGGAGGAGGCGGCGGCGGCTGGAGAGGGGGCGAGGGGGACGGGATCGCCGGTTGGTGGCGGTGGTGGTGGTTGTAATTGGGGCGGAGGTGGGGGTGGTGGAGATTGGTTTCTATGTTGGAGAAGGTGAGAAGTGGGAAAGGAGGTTTTTTGGTTTTCTGGGTGGATTGAAAGGTGGTGGGAGGAAGGAGGAGAGCGGCGGCGGCGGCGGTGGTTTTGGGGAAAGAAGGAGGTGAGAGGAAGGAGGAAGAAGGGTTGGGTGGGGTTGGGTCATGTGTTGGGTTGGGTTGGTTTTAATGACGTGGCGGGTTATAATGACATGGCGGGTCGAGTTTTATTTTTGTTGGGTTATATCCGGCTGATTAGGCAGTTCTGTTTGCCACATCATTACTTAACGGACTTCATTAACGGAGTTGGACGGAGACTAACGGCGAGTGACTAAATGTGTCCAGTTTTAGTAATTGTAGTGACCAAATTTGATATTAATTTTTTCTAGTGACTAAACATGTCCCGATTTTGTAATCTCAGTGACCAAATGTGTCTTTAACCCGCTAAAAAGAAAAAGAAGTTTTTCTAATGGGTTAAGTAATTAAATGGCCCTAAGCTTGCTAATTTTGGTGATTATAAATCACTGCCTCTGTCCGTGATTTTGCTAGACTAGGTACTATAAATCATTGCTACTGCTTATGATTTTGTCGAAATTATGGTCTCTAAATCACTGCTACTGCTTGTGGTTTTTATTAAATTAGAGTTGGTGATTGATTTGAAAAAGGGCAAGGATTTATGAATCTGAAATTTTAGTGAGGTATGGTGATCGTTGGATCTGGCCCTAGACCAGAACCATGAACTTCTAGAAAAAATCGGATTCTAATGTTTGTCTACTATCTGCTAAAAAAGAATCTGAAAGCATGACGATAATTTAAAGTAGCATAGAAATTGTTGAAATAAGAAAATCAAGTGCTTAATTGAAATGAGCCTAATCCGAATAGCAGTAATATAAATGACTGTGACTAATAAGCTTCAAGGAAATAGCGTAAATGAAATAGACATTCTACTAAAAACAGTAAATGGATTACACAAGAGTAAGTTCGTGAAAAGTAGGTGCAATATCATTCAATAAAAAGAGTTTTCGGTTTACAAGCACCAACCTGGTGGGCAACCTTGGATCTCGGAAATCCTTGCTCTTCAGATATTACAACTTTGAACTTGTGGGCGACTCTAGATCTCCAAGTGCGTAATCAACTATTACAACTTTGAATCAAGTGGCAAGAAAAGGAAAATTTCTGAATAGAAGTATTTCTCTATATCTGCTTCCTAATTCCCAGCGTCTACCTTCTGCCTTTTTCCCCCTTCAACAATGAAACCCAAAGAGCTAATTTATACCAACGGGTTTGCGCCACGTGTCATTTGTTCATTTGTTGTTGTTGAAGCTGAAACTAGTGTGCTTCATTCTGATTGGTCGAATTTTAAGGCTGAATCTTAACCCTCCACCTGCAAAGTCGGTTGCTGAGTGGCTGTGTTGGAGAGCTCCACCTTGCTTGGTCGGCTCTGACTAGTCAGGGTGTGGATAGGGTTGGCATATGATTTCGGGCCGAGTTGGCCGAAATGGGCCTAGAGTTGTTTGCGATCTGCTCTTCGTCTGGGCTCAAAATGGGCTTCGTCCAGTCTTGCACTTGGGCCAAACTGGGCTTGGATTCTTGAGACTAATTCGTGGGCTTGAGTTTGCTTACTTTGAACTCTAGCTTGGGCATGTCTTGACTGATTTACTCTGATTTTGCAGGCTACTTTTGCTGGTCTGGGCTCCCCGGTTATGGGCCATACTTGGATTCTTGATACGAGAATAGGAGTAGATTGTTCCCTTTCAACTTGTGTCTTGTATTTGAGGATGATAGTTGTACAAATTGAAATTTCTTGTAGTAATGTTTGATAGTTGTGGCAATCTTTTTATTTTTCTTTGTAGCCTTTACCATCGAGCTTTGAATAATTCTCTAATACGAATCCCTAACCATGACCCATATCGCTCCTTGATTTGTTTTCATTAACCAAGTTTACTGTGCCACACTTTCGATTGAAGGTGCAGTTTGATGTTCTATGATAAATATCAAACCGGACAAAATGTGGTGTCTACAGTTGCCCCCCTTTGTATATCTCTTTGTATAAAGAGTTATACAAAGTTCTTATAAAGACACCACATTTTGTAAACTCTGATGTCGTTTTTTGTCATATATCCAGAGAGTGATACTTGAGTGTTGTTAGTACGGCTTGTAGTTATTTGCATCATGAATGCAGATCATGACGCTCCCGTGCGTTGTTGATTGGTAGAGGGGCTCGCCAGCTCCTATGAGGTATTGAATGGTAGGGGTGCTCCTTAGCTCCACTGCGTTGTTGACTTGTTCCTGTAGCTGTAGGGAAGACTTTGGAATTTGGTTGCCCCCCTTGCGGTATGCAGAGTGGGTGAAAGATTTTTTTTTTTTTTCGGTTGATGTAAGCAGACTCGGGAATTTGGTTGCCCCCTCGCGGTATGCGGAGTGGGGTTAGGTTTTCTACATTGTCCGTGATAGTGGACGGAACAAGTTTTAGAAGGAGGGATCTCATTTGCTCGTGAAAGCCGACGAAGCAAATTTACTTGGTTATCTAAACTGCCCGTGATAGTCGACGGAACATGCTTAGCAGAGGGTGTAATTCGCTCATGATAGTCGACGAAGAAAATGGACTAGGTTCTCTAAATTGTCCGTGATAATCGACGAAACAAGTTTAGCAGGGGGTTTTTAATTTGTTCGTGATAGTCGACGAAACAAATTGACTAGGTAATTTTTGAATTGTCCGTGATAGTCGACGGAACAAATTTAAAAAGATGGTCTAATTTGCTCGTGGTAGTCGACGAAACAAATTAACTAGGATCTCTAGTTTGCCCGTGATAGTCGACGGAACAAACTTAGCAGGGGATCCAATTTGTTCGTGATAGTCGACGAAACAAATTGACTAGGTAATTTTTGAATTGTCCGTGATAGTCGACGGAACAAATTTAAAAAGACGGTCTAATTTGCTCGTGGTAGTCGACGAAACAAATTTAGTAGGTAATTTTACTTGCCCGTGATAGTCGACGGAACAAGTTAAAAAGATGGTCTAATTTGCTCGTGATAGTCGACGAAACAAATTGACTAGGTAGTTTTCGTAATGTCCGTGATAGTCGACGGGACAACTTTATTGGGAGACTTGTGATTCTTTGCCAACACCGATATCGTGTGTTCATTGTATTCGTTTAGGACAAACCTAAACCGATGTTATGACTCGTCATAAATGCACTTGAAGACTAAACGTGAGACTTGAAGAATTCACGCGAATGCAGTGTTTTAACTTGCAATGAAATCTTTTAACAGACATTGAAAATCCAACTAGATGTATGAGTTGTTTTGGAGATTGTTGGCAATTAATGCATGATTCATTTTAACATATGATGATGTTCTTTAAGGAGTATCAAAATGATTTTCGAAATTGATTGCGTGACGAA